TGACAGAATGATTTCTGTCCGATTCCAAGGCAAACCATTCAACATCACAGTAATCCAAGTCTATGCCCCAACCACTGATGCAGAAGAGGCTGAAGTGGACCGGTTCTATGAAGACCTACAACACCTCCTAGAACTAACACCAAAAAATGATGTCCTCATCATCATAGGGGACTGGAATGCTAAAGTAGGAAGTCAAAAGGTAACCGGAATAACAGACAAGTTTGGCCTTGGAAAGCAAAATGAAGCAGGGCAAAGGTTAACAGAGTTTTGTCAAGAGAACACACTGGTCATAGCGAACACCCTTTTCCAACAACCTAAGAGGCGACTCTACACATGGACATCACCAGATGGGCAACACCGAAATCAGATTGACTATATAATTTGCAGTCAAAGATGGAGAAGCTCTATCCAGTCAGTAAAAACAAGACCTGGAGCTGACTGTGGTTCAGATCATGAGCTACTCATTGCAAAATTCAGACTTAAACTGAAGAAAATTGGGAAAACCACGAGGCCATTCAGGTTTGACCTAGATCGCATCCCTGATGAATATACAGTAGAGGTGAAGAATAGATTCAAGGGTCTGGATTTGATAGATAGAGTGCCTGAAGAACTATGGACGGAGGTTCGTGACATTGTACAGGAGGCAGCAATCACCACCATACCAAAGAAAAAGAAATGCAAGAAAGCAAAATGGCTTTCTGATGAGGCTTTACAAATAGCAGAGGAAAGAAGGAAAGCGAAAGGCAAAGGCGAAAAGGAAAGATTTACCCAACTGAACGCAGATTTCCAGAGAACAGCAAGGAGAGATAAGGAGGCCTTCCTGAATGAACAGTGCAAAGTAATAGAAGAAAACAATAGAATGGGAAGGACTAGAGATCTCTTCAAGAAAATTGGAGAAATCAAGGGAGCGTTCCATGCAAAGCTGGCCATGATAAAGGACAAAAACGGTAGGGACCTAACAGAAGCAGAAGAGATTAGGAAAAGATGGCAAGAATACACAGAAGAACTATACAAGAAAGACCTCGATGTCCTTGACAACCACGACGGTATAATCACTGACCTCGAGCCAGACATCCTGGAATGTGAAGTTAAATGGGCCTTAGAAAGCATTACTAACAACAAAGCTAGTGGAGGTGATGGTATCCCAGCTGAGCTATTCAAAGTCTTAGAAGAGGATGCTGTTAAAGTTCTGCACTCCATTTGCCAGCAAATTTGGAAAACGCAACAGTGGCCACAGGATTGGAAAAGATCAGTATACATTCCAATCCCAAAGAAGGGCAATGCCAAGGAATGTTCAAACTATCGCACAATTGCACTCATATCACACGCTAGCAAGGTCATGCTCAAGATCCTACAAGCTAGGCTTCAACAGTACGTGGATAGAGAACTACCAGAAGTACAAGCTGGGTTTCGAAGAGGTAGAGGAACGAGAGATCATATTGCCAACATTCGCTGGATTATGGAGAAAGCAAGAGAGTACCAGAAAAATATCTACTTCTGCTTCATTGACTATGCTAAAGCCTTTGACTGTGTGGATCACAACAAACTATGGCAGGTCCTTAAAGAGATGGGAGTACCAGACCACCTCACATGTCTCTTGAGAAACCTGTATAAGGGCCAAGAAGCGACAGTTAGAACCGGATACGGAACAACTGATTGGTTCAGCATAGGAAAAGGAGTACGACAAGGATGTATATTGTCACCTTGCTTATTTAATATATATGCAGAGTACATCATGCGAAATGCTGGCCTGGATGAATCACAAGCGGGAATTAAGATTGCTGGGGAAAAGATCAACAACCTCAGATATGCAGATGATACCACTCTAATGGCTGAAAGTGAAGAGGATCTAAAGAACCTCTTGCTCAGAGTAAAAGAGGAGAGCGCAAAAGTGGGCTTGAAGCTCAACATCAAAAAAACTAAGATCATGGCATCCGGCCCCATCACTCCTTGGCAAATAGAAGGGGAAGCTGTGGAAGTAGTGACAGACTTCGCGTTCCTGGGATCCCAGATCACCGCAGACTGTGACAGCAGTCATGAAATTAAAAGACGCCTGCTCCTTGAGAGGAAAGCGATGGCGAACCTAAACAGCATGATAAAAAGTAGAGACATCACCCTGCCAACAAAAGTCCGCATGGTCAAAGCAATGGTATTCCCAGTAGTCATGTATGGCTGCGAGAGTTGGACTATAAGGAAGGCCGAGCGCCGAAGAATAGATTCTTTTGAACTATGGTGCTGGAGGAGACTCTTGAGAGTCCCTTGGACTGCAAGAAGAACAAATCAGTCAATCCTCAAAGAAATCAACCCTGACTGTTCCCTGGAAGGCCAGATAATGAAACTGAAGCTCAAATACTTTGGCCACCAAATGAGAAGGGAGCACTCATTGGAGAAGACCCTGATGCTGGGAAAGATTGAAGGTCAAAGAAGACAGGGATGGCAAAGGATGAGATGGTTAGACAGTGTCATCCATGCAACGAACATGAAGTTGAGCAAACTTCAGAGGACGGCGGAAGACCGGAAGGCCTGGCGGGAGCTGGTCCATGGGGTCGCAAAGAGTCGGACTCGACTGTGCGACTGAACAACAACCACAGGTTCATCAAGACTAAACATGGCTGGCTGAGCCAAGCTACAACTTAGTAAGCAGACTTAAGAAATAATGCCCATTTTCTCCAGCTACAGCCTCTGAACAAACCTACAGAAACTCCCTCTCCTTCCCGTTTGAGAGCATTAATACAGTGTACAAAACACACCGCAGATGAGATAGTTTCCCATAGAACACCCAAGGCCTTCCAGCACGCTACAAAGAAGAACATACTTCTTCCATTAAGCTCATCTATAATGAGTAGAGCCCCGGAAAAAGGGTTTCTTAAATTCCAGTTCTGGGTGTGTCGCTGCCAGGTTCTTTCATTTCAGGCAGGATGGATGGGATCAATGCTGCATTACTCTGAGCGTGGACTCATGCCCTTGGAGCCAATTAATATTAGACAGGATCCAGAGATCCAAGAATCTGGTTCTGAGCACCCAGCAGGGGTAGAGCCTAGAGTTTTCTTGGGAAGCAGCCCTGCCACCGATCATACACACCACACCACATGACGAGCCACTTGACAAACAGAAGAGTTTCAAAATCTGAAAAGTACGCAGACGGATGAGTGATTTCAGCTTAGCGTACTTTATTAGATCAAGAACAAGACAACTTTAGCTGGCTCGCAGGCCGGCTTATATGTCCCGTGGAACAGCCACCCATAACACACACACCCCACTTCCCAATAGGTTATTTACAGTGGCCGAGAGTTCCATAGGCTCTCGGCCGGGAACCTAGCCCACTGATTGGACTATGCGGATCCTAGCCCACGCCATTGTCTCTTTGAGTGAAGCTTGACGTTTGCTCTGGACCGCGTGGAGCCCAAGCTGGCCACGTGGTCTGAACTGGATATATTACAAAATCATTTTGTGATAATGATAATATTCGAGTGCTGGGGTTTTTTTTTCCCATGCTGAGGCTCTTTAAATCCTAGCTGTTAATTCCAAGACAGCATTGCTGGATCTATACGCTGGAACAAATAACAACATTGCATCTTGTTGTTCCAGGACAGGGTGGATGTGGATGTTAAAATAATCCTGGGATAGGCTGAACCAAGTTGTAATTACAGTGTTGACTACTTGGCTAAGACCTGGAACGTAGCAATGATGACAAAGGGTGCAAACTCACCCACCGAACTTATACCTGTTGTCATTGTTGCTGCAGGCAGTGTCTGGCCCACACAACCTCTGCAGCATTGTCAATACAGCCAGAGCCACTTGGCTTGGGTTGCTTCTGGCAGCCAGTGTTCCTCCTAGAACAGCAGCTTGCAAAGAACTTTCCCAACAAGGTGAAGGGCCAGTCCACCAGTTCAAGGCTACAGAATGGCAACAGGAAATGCTGTCAGAGAATGGGAAGCATTTGTGTGACATGAACACATAAAGTTGCCTTGTAATAAGAAATGCCTCTGGTCCATTGAGGCCCGTATTGTTAATTCTGACTGGCAGTGGTTCACCGGGCTCGAGGTCATATCACCAGCTGCCTGGTTCTTTAACTGGAGATGCCAGGGATTGAACCTGGGACCTTCTGCATGCCAAGTAGATGCTCTACTATTGAGGTTCAAACACACAAACAGAACACTGCGTAAACTCTGTAAAAATTACACACAATATCAACAAAGAAATACAATAAAGTCATATTACTCAGCCACCACACAACACAAAAATACCATCTCGGCACTTTTCTGGTAGATTTAAGAAGGGTGTTACTCTGCTTAGGATGACACTGTTAATTACTTGATAAAAATAGGTAAAGTCCAAGAAGCCAAAACACAGGAAACAAAAGCTGCAATGGAGGTCACAGGAGTACTGTAGAAAGTTAACTAGACTCCAAAGCTTAATTCTCAATCAGGGGATGTTGTATGGGAATGGAAACACTTCTTACTGTGTGGGCACTGGTGTAATTTTTCTGCAAATCTTAAACTTCCAACAGGAAATCAAAAGTGACACATGGGGCCTCAGGCTCATTTCCAGATTATAAGATTTTAGAATGATAAATCCAGTTATTACTCATGGTATTCTATACATCTTTCATCAGGACTGTAGTCTTGTAGGGTTTCCACTGTCAGAATACTGCTTTTTCCAATTCACAATACTTTTTGCACCTTGAAACCAGAAATGTATATCCATTATACATGCACGTCCTCAGAAGAGGCAGTTTCATGAGTAACAGAGGCTTCTGCTGGTGATCCGAGGGATGATGTGCCACACAGTTGCCTCTCATTCTTTTGACGAACGCTCCCCAGCCGAAGCTCTTAAAGAGACACGATCCCTACCACTGGCTTCTGGTGCTTCCTTCGGCCACTCTGTCCTTCCCTCCACCCCGCCCTCCTGTTATTCGATGGCCATTCCCTTTTTGGTCATCCCTTGAGGCCCCTCCCCTTCACTCGGGCTCCGCCTGCCCCTATATAAGGCGGTGGGGGCGCAGGACAGGGAGTGAGTGTAGTGGTTAATCGCGGGATCTGCAAAGCAGTTCCGTGTAGCGCGTCCGGGTAGCCGCCGGCACCATGGCAGGTAAGGCGCTTCCCCGGGAAGGGGTGTCCGCGCCCCCCCTACTGCGTCTTCTTCGCTCAGGCACAGCGAGGCTCTGGCGGCTGCTTGGGATGGCTCCGCCGGCGGCTCCTCGGCCCCCGTTGCCCGGGGCCAGGCGTTGCCTTCCCGTTAGAAGGGTGCCTGGCGAGAGCCGCCGCTGCTTCAGCCTCTTCCGTGTTGCAGCAGGCGCCTCTGTTGTGTTCCGCGAGTAGGAAGCGAGAGCGGCGTTCGGCGGCCCTGCCCGTGCGCGCTCGGTCTGCTGCCGAGGGAGACCCCAGCTGCTCCCTCGCTCATGGCGGCTCCTATTTTTAGGCGAGCTCGTGAGCCGGGCTGGCGCGTGAGGCGGCGTGGGTCGGGGGGCTGGCGGGTCAGGGCGCTCCTCGCCCACAACGACGTCAGCCCTCTGTGGCTGCTTGCCGTGGCGGAGAGACCTCTTCGGTTCCCCCTTCCCCTCCCGCAAGCCAGCAGGTGGGACTGGCGAACCCTCTCCCTCCTCTTCTTGCACGTTGTAAAGGGAGAGAGACCGTGTGAGCGGTATCTGCAGCGGTGGGCCCAGCGTGCTGTGTGCTGCTGGGGAGGCGGTGTTTGTGTTTACCTTTTAGCATCTCTCACCTTGTCTTGGCTTTGCAGTGATGCTTTTTGGGAGGACCGGCCAGCTGATTGTATCGGGTGTTTCCTGATCAAAAGCTTGCTCACCTTCTGTAAAGTATGGTGGGACTTCGGTAGCTGCTCACCTAGCTACTCTTAAAATATCTATGTCCTGATGGGAATACCACCGTTGTAAATGTTTGTAACTAGGTATCTCTCTTTGCTTGGGGCCAGCTCATTTTCTTTAATTTTTTTTAAAATTAAAAGCCATAATGTTTTAACAAATCAAAGTGCATTGGGTGTGCTGCTAACCCAAATGATGAGGGGGAAACAAGTGCTGACCCTTGTTGGGGTAATATGGGGTGGGGTGTTATCAAAATGAGTCCTTGATGGTGGTGTGAGGAGGGTGCTACTGCTATTTCTGATAGTGCTCACTAGGAATTATGGCACTTAAAAGGCTGGAAACTTGAACCAGAGATGTAGGAGTAGGTAGTTAATGTACAGGAAAGTTCATCAGAATTTCCCAAATATAGATTTGGAGGATAAATCCACCAATAATGGAAATGCTTAGAACCATTATAGGTTTAACATATTGGCCTTTGAAGACTTATGAACTAAGAGAAATAAATGTCTAGTAGAAATGTCTAGCACAGTTGTGCTGCTTTCTTAAAGGAGCTCATGTGCACATGGTTTTCCTTTCCTCTCTTGTTCTTCACAACAACCCTGTGAGATAGGTTAGACCGGCCAAAGGTCATCCAGTAAGCTTCATGGCAGTGAGGATTTGAATGCTGGTGCCCTAGGTGCGAGCTAGTATGCCAGACAGGATTTCTCCATAACAATTTGCGTTTTTGTGTCTGTGTGGTTGATCTAATATAGAGCCAGAACAGGTTGCTTTCACTGTCTGAATTTCAGCTTATGAAAACTACATACATATAGAGCAGCTCTTGGACCCTAACATTTACACTTTTACTAAATTTGATACAGGAAGTCTTTATTAACTTTTTGCTGAGCTGCAGCACTTTAAAAGATGCTTTTGGGAATCATAAAAGTAGCCCATGTTGAGTAGCTGGATATGAGAAGGAAACAAAATATGATAACAAACTTTGGGAGAAGTCTGCACTCCTGAGGATGCTAAGTTAGTATCCCCCAAAGATGGCACTCGCTTGTTTTCTGCCCTTCTCAAACTTTAATATGACTGTAAACAAAGTAGGCTTTATTTTTAGGCCTACTATTGTGGGTCCCAATAATGACTCACTCAAATAGCACTGTGAATATTGAAATCTCATGGGGTAATATTCTAGCACTCTGATGCATGCATTCAGAAGCTTGCTGCTTCCCATTGAAATCCTATCTGGAAAGGTCCAGCCCTGTTAGCAGAAAACTCTAGAACAGGCAGCAGAGTGGCTTTAGACATATCTCAGCTTGTTAAACTGGCTGGTTTTGGCCAAAGAACTGTTAAGGAAATGCTGTCAGATTGTCCTGGTTTGGTAAGGACTTCTGCCCTTTCAGGAAGCAGTGACCCCTTTATGTGTTCCTCATTCAGCAGTCTTGAGCTTGTCTTGTGAAGAGTGTGGGTTGGTGAAAGACTTCTCAAGCGGTTGCTTCTATGTGTTAATTTCCTATTTTCTTCTTGCTCAAGTCAACCTCTTAAGGGACCACACCCATAGCTAGTGAGCTCTCCTTAATCAGCTGTTACAAAGAATGTCTGATAGCACATGGAAGGTGACTGAACATGCATCTGTTCTCAAAACGAGGCAGATGTCCTTTCCTTGGTTTGTTCTGGAGTCATAAATGACATCTAGAAAGTAACTGGTTATTACGTAATAAAGGCGTGTGATGAGGCTGGTGGTGTATATGCCTACTGAATAGGTTTGCATGGTATTTTCTCTTTTTAGTCAGACTACTTTCAGATAGCCTCATGGAGAGAGAGTTCCCTGAGGACTGGGCTGGATTGGCTTGTATGCCACAACAGATTTAAAAAGATTCAAGTAGTGTTGCTGAAACTGCATCTCTTTGCTTGGAAACTGGCTGTAGTTATTTGGAGAGGGCAAGACTCATTCAAGACTGGATACTTGTGTGGTCTTCAAGTGGAACTGTAGGGTGCTCTAGTATCTTTCACTGTTTTTTTTAATCCCAGCAGTGTAAGACATGCAGCTACTTGTGTTAAGTTCCAAGTTATGGTTCCCAGCCTCCAGCTGGATCCTGGAGATCTCCTGGAATTACAACTGATCTCTGGATGACAGAGATCAGTTCCCCTGGAGAAAATAGCTGATTCGGAGGGTGGACTCCAAGGCACTCTACTCCACTGAGGTCCTTCCTCTCCTCAAACCCCACCCTCCCCAGGCTTCACCCCCCCCCCATCTCCAGAAGTTTCCCAACCTAGTGTTGGCAACCCCAGTCCCAGTAGAGCAAGGATTCCTTTCTGTGGTCTTCTTTCCAAAGAATTCAGTAAAAGTGAGACAGGCTTTACTGAGAGGCGAATGGCTTCTCTTGCCCCTTTCCAGTGCTTGTTTGACCTTCTGGCCTTGCCTAGTGATACTGCACAGAGACCTCTGACAGCTTCACAGAGCATTGCTGGCTGACCTCCTTTCCATTATCCCTTCTTTTTAATGCTCTTGCTTTTGAAAGGGCTTTGCACTTTCCTTGTGTAGAGGTACAGGAAGAAAATAGTAGGGTTGTTCCTCTTGCAACCTCAGGCCTAAGATAAGTGAGCCGGACGTTTCTGAGCTTATATTAACCTACAGGTGTGAGCAAGATGGAAAAGTGCCCTCATGTGAAAGCACTTGTGTGGCTGTGCTGTGAGAAAACTGAGAATGAACAGCCCCATAATATTGTCTTAACTTACACTGTTTGTCTTGTACTTGGAAGCTTGGACATCATTTAGAAGTTCGTCATTCAAGAACTGCCTACAAAGTTCTTAATGAAACCTGTTATCCAACACAATTTTTTTCTGACTTGTCCCTCAGTCCCAATCTGTATTTGTAGCTTAAATAAGATTGCTTTACTTAGAGGAAAAGGAAGCCTGATTTGTGCCTGTCTTGCAGACTAGAAATAACTTGAAACTTGCAATCTTTGGCCTGTAGGTCTGGTGTGAACCATAGTTTTCCGGTTCAGATGCAAACTATGGTTTGCTTGAAAACCAGACATTGGCTTGCAGTGTATTGGGGGGTGCGGGGTGGAGTTGTATCCATATCAAACCATAATTTGACATTGCATATCTGAACCACACCTGAAGGTGCAGGTATGGTAATAAAGGCAAGCTAAATGTTGGTAATAGGTATCTAGTTCCACTTGCCTTATCACTGGACCTGCTGATCTTATATCTTCAGTTGCCTGGCCATTCACTATCTTGCTTGGTGAAGGGCATCTTTGCTGGGTTTATACCTCTTCTGACCAACCCTACTCCATTGGCAGTTCATAATTTTGCTCAGAGGTTCCTCTTAAATAGAAGTGGGAGAGTACACAGACAAACCTTGTAACAGTGTCCTAGGGTTGTAGCAGAAGCTATTTATAATAGCCTCTTGAACAATTGGAAGCACTCAAAATTAGTTTGGCTGTTGTATTGTCAATGCCTCATGAATCTTTGGACTTGCATACCAGAAGTTTCATCCTACATTGCAATCGATAGACTATAATGCAGGGCTTGAAGTAACATGGTACTCTGTTATTTTCAGCGCCCAAAAATCCTGTTGCCTAAGCAGGCCTTTAAGAATAGTAAAGTTTCAACTTCAGCTTCTTGTAGCTGATCTGATATAGGTTACGTTAATTCAGTTGCCTGGAAAAGGGACCCTTCATTCCAATGTGGAAATGTATGAATCACTACTAAGCTTGATGCCTTTGAGGCATACAGGATCTATAGATACATGCCAAGTATCAGTTGAAGAGTCTTCTGTACATTGGTATGGTGTGATGTGCACAACTCTGTTAAACTCCTCAGACCTTACTAGTTGGAAGTAGTGTTTTGCAATTTCTTCCTACATTAACTGTAATGATAAAATGAAAATAGAGAAGGAAATGTTAGCTTGTGTGTGTTTAAGACAATTTTGGCCTACCTTACTACTTCTGTTGTGGAGAGATACTAGCCTTAATTTAAACTGGGGCTTAAGTACCACAGGCAAGGCATTCAAGAACCAAACACTGGATTAGTAACTATAAACATTCGCTAAAAACTCTGGCACAACTCCACACAGACTTAATAGTGATTCAGCATTGGCTATTCTCCCTCTCCCCCACCCCCCTTATGGATTTAGAACTTCAGCTACCCAACAGACTATAGTAAAGATGTGGGGCACCAATTCATATTTTCAAAAGGTTTTTTTTAAAATTTTCCAGTTTTGTGGATTGGGTAACTGTACCTTTATCAGTGACATTCCAAATAATAGTTTAAATCATCATACCATGTTAGCAATTAACAATCAAACATGTTGAACTTAAACTCTGGGTACTACTAGACTGAACTTCTGGTTGTATTTTCTGCTGGAAGTTAGTACATGCCTGTTGTGTACTTTAGAAACTTTTTTTTGCAGTGCAGAAGAGAACTGCTTTGCCTCTGGCAAACAAGAGTTCACTTATTTTGCTCATTGCACCGAATGCCTTCTGTGCATTCTAGAATCTTAATGTTGAAATTGACCATCCAGAACAAACTGGTGGAATGAATTTTTTGCAACTTGTGTGCCTAGGATATGAAAATTGTATAAATGATTTGCTTATTTGTATATAAATGAATTTTTCTTTATTGATTTTTTAAATTGGTATTGACACCATGCATGGCTAATTCTTTCTGTTTATTTGCATTAGAACTGGCAAATACCTTGCTAAAAGCAGTAACTAGCTAGCTTATGGTGTGCAAGTGAAGTATGTACATTGGTACCCATCCGTGGTTTGGCGTTGAACCTTAACAATGGCTGCCCTTGTAATTACTGTGTTCTCAAGTACTCAACACTAATATGACTTGTATATCTCTTTTCCTTAAGATCAGTCTTTTGTGACGCTAGCTACCAATGATTCTTACGTGAAAGGAGCGCTTGTGTTGGGGTCATCTCTACGGAACTCCAGGACGACAAAGAGGCTGACAGTACTTATAACTCCTCATGTCTCTGATCCGATGAGGTAAGATGTGAGACAAGTGTAGTCTGTAAGTAAGCCAGTTGACCATTTGGTAGCTAATGATGGTGCTGATTCCATCTGAGCAAAAACATGTTCTTGGTTACAAGTGAGGTGAAACACTTGCATGCATGTAGTGGTTAAGAACATGGTTTGGTGTAGTGGTTAAGAGCACAGACTCTAATCCGGGAGAACCGGGTTTGATTCCCGACTCTTCCACATGCAGCTGCTGGTGTGACCTTGGGTCAGTCATAAATTCTTTCTGAGCTGTTCTCTCCAGGGCAGTTCTCAAGAGAGCTCTCTCAGCCCCACCTACCTCACAGGGTGTCTGTTGTGGGGAGGGGAAAGGAGAGTGTAAGCTGCTCTGAGACCCTTCGGGTAGTGAAGAGTGGGGTATAAATCCAATCTCTTCCTCCTCCTCCTTTTCCCTTGAAGGCATAGATTTTAGTAGGGGTCCCCACCATGGTGCTGTGGGCACTGTGGCACCCACTGACACTTTCCTGGTGCCTGCCCAGTGTTCTTAGAATGTGGGTAGAGCTATGTGAGGCTTTTGCTCAGTTAGGGCCATTGGAGATCTGGTTGGTTGTGCAGAGTTCTTAAAAGTTGCTTTAGCAACAGCTGCATGATCTTCACTGTTACTGTGCATGTATGCAAGAAAGTATCTTTTTTTAATGTGTTCATTTAGCATCCTGTTAAACAGAGTTTCTGCCTGAAGTGTTGAAGAGTTACTTAGAGCTATACATAATCTCATTTGCTGACATTTTGTGGTTGGCTCCTTCTCCCGCAGTGGCCATTTTGTGATTGTGGCAGCCCACCCCACCCCATTGTTAGAATTTCAAGGGTACCTGCAGATTTGAAAAGGTTGGGGTCTCCTGGACTACAGACGTGATTCCATCTGAGGTTGATGGAAGGAAATGGAACTAAGCTGAACTTCTGTTGTATAGAGAGAATGGTTCTCCATTTTAGAGAGGCAGACTCCGTATCTGTTGGAAAGGGCTGTCAAACAACCAAGCTGATTAGCTCATAAGATAAGTATGCCCTTCCTAAGAACTCTGTTAAAAAGAAATTGCATTGATGCAGTTACCCTTTGGAGCAAGGAAAGGGGAACATGCATCAGTTCAAGCAGTGATGCTGAACTTGCACAAAGGTATCAGCTCTGCAACTACTCAGAGCATACCAGATAAGCTGCAGTGCGTACCTTCATCTCTCCTAGTCATTGACTCTAGAACAGAAACCACCAGTACAGGCCATCTTGCTAACAAACTTGCCCAGCTCCCTGCTCCAACATTTTTGGGGTAAAGCAATGTAGGAAGATCTACTTATTTGGGACATTCAGATGGGTCTGCTTTGGTGCTGCACATCTAGCCACATCGGCAAATATATGCTGTCGAAATTTTTCTGCGGTGTTGTGACCTGTGGACTGGGAATCACATGCCTCAAAAAAACCCGCAGCTCAGGCAGATGGGCACTAGGTCACAGATAACAAATAGCTAGGTGGAGTAACACAATGTTGAACTGCTTAGGCCTTCGTCTAGCAGTTGGTGTGTCCAGCTAGAGAACAGGATGGAAGGCGGACAATGAAGAGGCAGTGACTCTCAGTAGAAATTCAGAACTGCTGTGTAAGAAATGAATGAGACAGCTGTTAAAAGACATGACTGTGGCACAACACATCAAGCACTAATAACACATCAAGCACTTTTCCTTGTAAAACTGCACTCTTGTTTTAAGTGTGTAAAACTTAACAGCACGCCCCATGCCCTATCATGGCAGCTAGTATGCTAAAATTGCATAGATAGCAGCTGAAAACCCCCATTAAAATGGAAGGTCAGGTGGGTGAAATGCTATGGAAGTTACCCATATTTGAGCCCCGGTCAGACGTGCCGGAAAACATGGGGGGGGGCAGCTATTTGAACCGTCGCATTCTGATGCACCATTATGCGATCAGACGCGATGGTGGCTTCCCCGTGGCAAAGAGGGCGATGGGGGAGAAAGCCGCGCGCCGGCGCGATCACACCCAGGGAGTCCATATGCAGCCCGTGGCAAACCATTTTGCCAGTAGGTCATCCCAGGTACCTTTTTAATGCGCATCTTCCGCAGGATGCCACGGGTGCGCTATGCCTCCGAGATGTTCCGGTGTGATCGCACCCGGAAAATCCGTGGGACTATCATGCCTTCAGCACAGCAAATGCTCCGTGTGAACAGGGCCAGTGTTGTGCTTTCAAACTCAAGCTTTCCATTTCAGTAGGACTGGCACATGATTGCATGTCTTAGAGTTCTGTTTGGGTACCACTGAGCCCATTTGAGGAGGGCAGTATATAAATCTAATAAAACTCTTATGCTAAAGATAGTTCCCCAAAATTCAGTTTCCTGGTAAGCAGTTTTCTTGGTGGACCACACAGCACTAAAGTCCCCCTTATGTTGCCTTTCATAAAACACCAGTGTAACCTTGCAGGCCTGTAGCCATGCAAAACATCCTGTGCTGTGGGTTCTCTCCGTGTCAGCATCATTCCTCTGCAAAACCTGCCATTGTGCTGGTACAGGGAGTGGCCACAGGAAGGTTGCTGCCTCTGCCCCATCCAGCACCACTGCCACTGTGCAAAAGAAGTCCTGCTGTCGTGGCTTTAACCTGGGGCTCTGCCTTCATCCTCTGCCAGTGAAAAAATCCCTAACATACTGCAGCTACTGTGTGATACCCTCTTTTTAAAAAACACCTCTGCATGCTGACAGCTCCTCAGAATGAAGCCAGGTCACAGGTTCTTAAGCACTAGTGGAGACATTAAAATTGCTCCACTTTCGGGAAGAGACTTTAATAAAAGTTGAATGGGTGGAATATGTAGGTTTAAAGTATAATTGAGAAGGTCAGCACTTGAACATCACGCAGCAGTCTTTGTCAGTCAACATTGGGGCCAGGAAGCTGTACGAGCTTTAATTTTTCAAATTGAATCCGTGTTCTTAAAGTGTTTAGCATAAAGATGCGGTCTGTAACCAACTGGATATCTTAAACACATTGGAAGCTGTGCAGTGACTTCTGGACACACAGCTAAGAGGGTTCCTCTTTCTTAGCGATCGCTTAAAATAGCCAGCTGGCTTTATCAAAGAGTGTTCTTAGGACTTTCTGACCCATATGCCTGTGTGGGAGTATGCACTTCCTAGGCAAGCTGTGACAGCCCTTTGGTGTTACTAACCTACCACCTTTCAAGAGCATTATCTGAGGTCAACATTCCTGTGCTCTAACTTAAGAATTTTGCTGCAGGGGTAGGAAATAGCTGCAATGTGCATTCTGAGCGAACTTCTGAAGGCTCTGCCTAGATAAAACCTGGTATTCGAAGCTGCTTCCTCGTAGAAATGTAAGATGGTTGGCTGACATAATCGAGAACAAGTTTGAAGCACTGGATATGAATGTAAAATGTATACCTCTTTTCATTAGGCAAGTATTGGAAAAAGTCTTTGATGAAGTAAAGCCCGTGGATGTATTGGATAGCGGAGACTCTGCCCATCTTGCGCTACTCAAAAGGCCTGAGCTTGGTGTTACGTTGACAAAAATCCACTGTTGGGAACTGACGCATTATTCAAAGTGTGTGTTCATGGATGCTGATACAATGGTATGTCTTACTGCTGCTTAGAATACAACTTAGCTGAATCCTATTGGTTTAGGTAATGTTTAAAATTGTAGTGTTTCTAGTATGTTGGAGTGCATGCATGGCAACATATTGTGTTACTGTAACTGCTTCGGTACACAAATTCTGCAAGGTTTGAAGAATTCCCATGGTGAGCTTGGAACCATCCAATCAGTAGAAGGTGTCTTGCTGACAGCCTGAAGTCACCGGTTTTTGGATTCACATTCCAGTGTATGCTCAGTAGCATTGAATCCCTGCTCTGCCTGTACACAGAGGAAGATGTAACAGGATTTTCTGATGCAGACCACACTACAGTAGATGCAAGAGAAGCCCAGAAGCATTCCTCTTGTCCAGAAAGATGTATGATTCCTCTACTTACCTGTAGGTTGTCTCCTGGCATCCAGCCCATTCTAACTGGGTTCTTTCAAGGAGGATGCTATTATTCTAGAAGCTACTTGAAATTGTAAGCTACACAATCTGAGGAACTGGGTATCAGGTTTAGGAAACACTATGCTATTCTTGAAGGTGACCTGTACCGTTGCATTCTTGTAATGCATATTTTAACTGTTTTCCAAAATAAACTTGTAACTCCCAAATCTTTAACCAGGTGTTGTCCAATATTGACGAACTGTTTGAAAGAGAAGAGCTTTCGGCAGCACCAGATCCTGGCTGGCCAGACTGTTTTAATTCTGGAGTCTTTGTCTTCCAACCTTCCATTGAAACATTCAACCAGCTGTTACAACTTGCCACAGAAAAAGGCAGCTTTGATGGTACGTGTTTGCCTGGGCTGTGCATCATGAGTGGGGTGAGAGGGCTCTTGTGAAGAAGGCTCTGGGGAGGCTGATTCATATGAACCAAAAACAATGTGCAGGAAACGTTTAATGCTTATAGGAATCTATGCTGCTGTAAGCTTTCTATAGATTTGGCTTGTACTTTGGTGGAACTGGAGTGCATAAAAGATTAATAAGACTGTCTTATAAATTGGCTGAAATGCAATATTGCAGAGCAGGAGTATCTACTGATAAATCAGATGCCTACATCTCATCATTTAAAATGCTCAAAGCCGAAGTTTCACTGGGATCTTGTCCCCCTAGCTGAAGAGCTTGATGTAATATAAGTGATTCCTGTACAATAGCGGAGTTCTAGTAAAGTATTGTAGTAAAGTGAATGCTACTCTGCTTTCTAGCTGTGTTGATTTTATTCTCTAGGCAAAATCTGGCTCACCTAATTTTTAGGGCTGTGAAACAGGCAAGTTCTTTCATTACTTTACTATGGCTTAAGAGTACTCATTTACATGTAATTGTGCATAACAGCAGCCCAGTCAATCCTACAGGGTTTCAAGTGTCCACAGGAAGAGACTTCCCAGGCTGTGAACTTGGCGACCCAAATTCCTTTACCACCTGAGTATGTAGGTATAAGTAAGGGGGAAACCTTTGAGCCTACCTCACTGGGTTGAGCAGATAAGCCGTGTTAGGCAATAAAGCACAGTTTAAATACTGAATTCCTAGTTTGGTCCAAGTTTCCTTATTGGAACATGGGTAGAGATGGTCCTGCAAATAAATGGTACTCCTGGGTCATGAAGGACATTAAAACAAGGGCCGAACTACAGTTGAGTCTGGGTTTCCTGGACTCAGCACTCTCTGCAGCCACACAGCAGCTACTTGGACTGTCTGCTTAAAAATAAAGGAAGGAGAGCCTGCTCGAGCTTGGAACTCTGATGTTGGGAGGAGGGGCTCTTTCCTTCCCCTTCCATGTTTTCCTGGGCAAAAATGGTTTGGGGCGGGTATTTCCCCTTTTTTTGGCTGCTCTACATGAGCAGAATTCAGCACATGATGCAGCCAGTAAGTCTTCCTTCATGTCACTTTGGGTTGGGAAAAGAGCATGGAACTGAAGCCCATCCTCCCACATGTCCCAGTTCCAAGCTCAACTGGGCTCTTCTTTATAAACTTGCCCTATGAAATCTGCCCGTGTGAAAGATCTACCATCGCACCTTCGGTTGGCGGGTTTCCTTCTTGTTGCTTGTTTTTTAACGTTGCAAGATCCACGAATGGCTGTGAACTAGACCGATATTTTCTCATTTTAACTGTTATTGCTTATATAACTTGTTTTAATTAATTGTTGGATGTGTTATGTTGTTGTTACCTGCCCTGAGCTCGCTTGCAGGAAGTGTGGGGTATAATAAGTTGAACAAATGCAATCAAATGAATAAATAAAATAAAGGTGCCACTGGACTCAAAACTCTGTTCTGTTGCTTCAGACCAACATGGCTACCCCACCCTGAATCTTTTATACAGACAGTCCAGGCAGCTGGTGTATGGCTGAAGGGAAGGAGTGTTGGGTCCAAGGAACCTGAACTTAACTCTAAGAGATGTAACTTCTAGTATGGCCCTTAGATAAGATTACACTTGTAGGACAACTAGCTCTCCAAGGGCATGACCATGAGACTGACTTGAAGCATCCTATAGAATGAGAACTGAAGGGCTACATAAGCTAACTGACTGCCCAGTGAATGGAACTCTCATGCTTTTCTTCTTCCTTCTCATACAGCCTAGTTTCCCACCAATGCTCAACTCCATTGTTCATGACAGAATTCTTTTAGCCATCCAAGTATAGGGCCTTGACTAATCTCAGTCTTCCCCTTCTCATGTCCTCCCTCCTTTACTCAAAATGGAAATGTGCTATTCCACTGCTCTGTTAAAATCCAAGTATATACACAGCCTTAGCCTAGGCAGGCAGCTCTCATCTAGGGAATCACATTTCCTTGTAGTGAGTTGCGGTTCCATCTTTGCACACTTCAATTGGCCTTCCTTTCCTGTAAAATTCACGTGCAGGCTGGATAATGCACTGTGTATCATTAACTCAGTGCCATGAAGATATTGAATGCAGCTTCTTCTGAGCAGAAAGAGTGCTCTCTATAAATGTCCTTGGATTACGTTTGCTCTTAAAGTTTCCTCCAACTTTAAGGGCTTCTTCATTCTCCGATCAATGGAGACATCTCTTGGCACAGCACTGTTCCTTGTTGGTGGTGGTCTCATTTTCATTCAGGGTCCACAACTCAAGGGATTGCAAAATAAAGTAACAGTGTCAAATAGCAAGTTATTTAAGACTACTGTTAGACTTCTTGGCTATCTGCAGTAAGTGGTGCCAGTTAAAACTGGCACAGATACCAAAAAGCTTGGCGTAGAACAGTAGAGATTTCATGAGCTTTTGTCTTGAACAGTAATAAGCTGAAGTCTTGTGGTCTGTTCATGACTGCACTTCACTCAGTGTAAATTTAATTACTTGGCCTAATAATGCTACTAATGGGTATATTCTGAAGATAATGTTGGCACCTTGAAGAATAAAGTTCAAGCTTTGAGTCTTCATGCTATGCAAACTATAATTTACTTATTTCATTTATACGCTGCATTTCCCCTAATGGGGACCAAAAAGGGGCTTAGATCATTCTCCTGCTCCCATTTTATCGTCACAACTCGGAGTTTAGAATGTGTGACTGGCCAAGGTCACCCAGGAAGCTTCCACCGCAGTGTGGGGATTCAAACCTGGTGCTTCTAGTCCAACAGTAACCACCACTCCACACTGGCTCTCAGTATTCAAAATGGGTAGCCATGTTACTCTGTTGCAACAAGAAACAGAAACCAAGTGGCACCTTTAAAACTAACCACACCTATTCCAGCATACGTTTTCAGGACCTCACTACTTCAGCGATGTGATGCATAAAAGTTATGCTGGAATAAGTTTAGCTAGTCTTACAGGTGGTACCTTACCATAGAAACATGTGTAAATGAATTAAGGGTGGTTATCAGTACTTGCTGTGCTGGCTGAGTATAAATTCCCTTAAGTCTAACTCGCATGCAAAAGTAGTACATTGTCCAATAAGGTGCCTATAAAGAATGCTGTGAAGTCCGTTGCTCCAGCTCTGAACATGAACAAAACTAGGTAATATGCTACCTATAGATGCATAAAGAACATGCTGACTCTTAGACCTTAAACTCTGAATCCAAGAGTGTGCTGGCTGCTACTTGGAATACAGAAGTAGAAGTTTGCAACAGGTTTGTAGTCAAAGGATTGTGGACTGCTAGGGCTTTGAAGGACTAAGGGGTTAACTGTGCAAAATCAGTGCGCGTAACTCTTAACACTAACTTCTTGGCTGTGCAGTTTCAAAGAACAGTCTGTCCTTGTGTGAGCATATCAGCCCAGGGACACAATTTCATGTATTCTTTTCCTTGTGTGTGTTCTAGAATACAATGGCTCTGAAGCCAGCCTTTATCTAGGGTTCCTGGTATATTAAACTGAAATGGATCTCAGCATTTGTCACTAGATGACAATAGTACAAAGTGCCACTTGTAAGAAATTTCAAAAGTGGAACATCTCGCTTCAGGCAATTCTGGCTAGAGGAAAGCTACCGAACAGAGGCTCAGGTTGTGCTAAATTCTAGCCTGTATTGGGCTAACCAAAGGGTTTTTACTTTATCCTTAACAAAATCTGGGCTTGCCAGTATTTTCTCCCTGCTCTGTTACGTAACAGTTGAAGTCTCTGAAGCTGGTGATGTTGAAGGTCTGCCAGGTTCTACATATAGCCCACCAAACCCTTGCCTAGCTCTGCCACGGGTCCTGACAGTTACTGCTATGATTTAGCCCCATCCAATCCACCCAACCCTTGCTGTGTTACTGGAGAAAGTGTACTAGCTGTAATAGCAAGAAGTTGTAGTATGATTCAAGAACCTTACACTTGTGAAACAACATCTGGACACTAGCATTGCTACCTTCCCTTTCCAGCCAAGCTGAATGACAACAGAGCCTAGTCTGACCTGAATGGCCACCATTCAACTTGACACTTATTTCCTTCCTAGAAGACAAAATAGCTTGAAGGTCTGCTGTACGACACAACACGTACAGCCCCTTCTCAGGTCACTGGAGCAAAAGCAGTAGGCAAGATGCCAGTGCCTCAGAAGCAGAAATATGACATACTGTGAGTCACTGGTGTGTGGGTGGAGGATGTAGCTGAGTGCTGCGCATGTGAGAAGGTCCTGGGTTCAGTCCTCAGCATCTCCAGCTGAAAGGATCAGGTAGCAGGTGATGTGAAAGACTTGCAACCTGAGATGCTGGAGAGCTGCTGCTAGCCATGGTAGACAATACTGACCTTGAATGGTCTAATATGGTAGAAGGCAGCTTTGTGTGAGCATGTAGGCATTCAGGATTTTGATGTCGTGAGTGTCTGGAAACCATTACTGGGAAGATAAATCTTCTGGCCAACCTGGCACCATTTCTAGAGGTAATAAGGCTTCTTTTTGGATCTTGAATAGAGGCTGACTCTCTCAGTTGTATGAAGAGTCTCCACATTGTGTCTTCTAATCTTATCTCTCTCCCTTTTTTAAGGTGGGGACCAGGGATTATTAAACACCTTTTTCAGCAGCTGGGCCACTACAGACATTAGCAAGCATCTGCCTTTTATTTATAACCTAAGCAGTATTTCAATCTACTCCTACCTCCCTGCATTTAAAGCGTAAGTAGTGTGTATGATTAACTTTACTTTAACAGCATTTGTGTGGGTTGGATCAAGATGGGTAGCTGTGTCAGTCTGTCTGTAGCAGCAGAAAAGAGCAAGAGTCCCAGTAGCACCTTCAAGACTGACAAAATATGTGGCAGGGTATGAGCTTTCGTGAGTCACTGCTCACTTCTTCAGATACCTCTATGTGGGCTGCGTCTCTGTTCTCACTGTGGTAAGGCTGCTTCCAAAATAGGGCCAATCAAAGGCTCGTGCTACTTCAACTTCATGCAAGAGTTGGATTTTCATTTAGGCTACACTAACACCCTTAGTTGCTTTCACATTGGTAGAAAGAACTCTGAAGCTTCACTTTGAATGAAGTGGTCAAGCCTGGTGTGTTGAACTCTGAGATTGACAGGTAGACTGCAGAAAGTGCTTGCTGGAGTCTTTTCCTAATTGCTGCATGTGAACCCTATGGATCACGTGAGCTGAAATGCATGGGAGGTTCTGCATTATGGCTCATCTACTTGAATGGAATGTTGGAACTCCCAGGGCCACGTGGGAAGAGTCTGTAATGTGGCACCTTCCAATGCTATCATGTAGTTCATAGGTTCTGAGTCTACCTTCATGATATAGAAGTGTGCCAGAACAGCTCCATTGCCCAGCCCCTGGAATGGGTCAAATGCTGCTCTGGGTCACAGTGCCAAATGGAGTCTTAAATGTCTCTGAGGTCATGCTCATTCTATCCTGCTGGAAGAAAAATGGGCTGTGCCAAAATGATTCTCTCTGACAGCCATGCAGTGAAAGGGAGTTTGCTGTTACAACTCCTACATAGGCATTTGTGCTAGCATATAGTAATATGCTTTGGTTGGAGGGAAGAAGGGGGCAGCCTTCAGTTCCTGGCTTAAGTCACCTAGGGCAACCATGTCTTATGAGCAAGCATCTATTATGAGCTGTTAAGGAAGAGCATTTGAAATTTTAAACATGCATGGTCATGGTAGCTTTGGCTGCCTCCTTGTCTCTTTCTTTCTCCATGCTGCCATTTTCTGTGCACAAAAAAAAGTCATTGCAGTCGTTACCTTCTACAACTTTTTCCACACACATGCTTTGGGGCTGAACCTCATAGTTCATTGTAAACATTGACTGAATGAATTGTTTGCCACCATGCAGGACAAGCATAGCTGGCTTTTTGGGAAGCCCAAATGGTTGTTGCATAAATTTGGCTGGACATTTCTCAGCAACTTGCGTTAAGGTAGATCTCAAATCATGCTGCTCATACAACCAGAAGGAAATGATGAGCAACTGATGTTGCCTAGAGACTCTAGGTAGTTAACACAAACTGCTAAGAGTTTAATGGAGCAGCTAACGTAAGCAGTGCTGGTCATGGCTCAAGTTCAAGCGACGTCTTGTGATCTCAGCATCATATGAAGTACTGTCAGGTTAAAATTAGAGCACTTATTTTTGGAAGTCAATGTAAATGGGAATGAATACCTAGTATTAAGTCTCTATTAGAGAATATTTGGCCTGGTGAGTGGTATTGTGATATATACTGGGGGGTGGGGGCAAATATCTACCTAGCTAACATAGCTTCCATAACTTGCCTTGCGGCTGATTTGAGGTTGGGATATGGTATCTCAGGTGATGACAGGCCAGGGCTGCCCTTCTCTATGCGAACACTGGAGGTAACAGATGGAAATTGGAGGGATGAATGCTCCATGCTAGCTGTTCCAAGAGCAGGCCATTCTAAGACATGCCAAACAGCCATGCTCATGGAATGGACTAAATCATAGACCCTGTTATGAACACATCTAATCTGTTGGCTCTTTTAGAGTGGAAGGAGGGATTTACTGCAAACAGGTGTGACGTTCAGCCTGTAAGCAAAAAACAAAAACAAAAGTGGCCTGAAAGACACCCTTATCTAACGTAGCTTTTTGCTCGGAAGAGGCAGTCTGAAGTGGACAAATGAGATCAAAGGATTATGCAACAAGCCTGGAATGCATGGTACTTGGCAAATAGACCCCTAACACTTTAATGGGTATCAAATCCACTTACCAGCTCACCACACAATACTGATGGATCTTCTCAAAGCGGCATTCATTCTGGCTCAGTTCCTCCATTGCTCTGAGCTTGCTGTCAGCTACTCTGTTCATATGGTCACGGCTGTGATTGATTTCTGCAGAATTCCCTATTTTAGGGATGGGTACTATGTATGCCAACCGACTAGTTTGGTTCTGGCTCCAGTGGGCCCCCCCCCCCGCCCCTTCTTTCTCTTCTAAACTTCAGCTCGCCCCAGCAATACATGCCAACAGGGCTTTACAGTACCCTTCTGGTTCAGCATGTGAAGTACTCTGACTAAATGTGCTATATAAAAGTTAATAAGGGGGGGGCAGAACAATATGAAGTCTATAGTCTGTTGCAGTCTGGATCCCTAGAGAGAAAGAGAGCTCTCAAAAGGAAGTGAGGCTTCTTGGAAGTCTTGTACAGTAGAATAAACTCTGGAGGCATAGCTGGCAACTTGTTGGTTACTGCTGTATAGTATGAAATAGGAATGCCTTACTTACAGATGAGAAGGTGCACCTGTAGCCTTCAAACAAAATTGTGTGTGGTTTGAGTTTGCCTCATAAATAATGGCTCTTAATGCTTTGCAGTAGGGTTCCCCAACCTGGTGCCCCCGAGTGCTCACCTGTACTTCCCTTGGTACCCTTGAAATTTTTCAGGTGTTTGGGAACTTTGTAGGGCAAGGCTTGTTCTTGCCTGTCCTCATTCGAATGAAAGGGCTTTCCATCAGAGGATTGTAAGCACCTGTCTTTCCTTATGCCGTGTGTGGTTCATTCCCCCTTCAGGCTTTCTTCGCAGAAGATATAAGGGGGGTGTTCTGTTTTGCTCCACCTTCTGTAGGCAGCCATTTTGAGGTTTTTGGTACTAGTAAGCAATAAAACATTGAATTTTTCGAGGCATTACCAAGGCCATACTTCATACCTATCTGGTGGAGACAGAATAACATGACTCTGGCAGCTACAAATCACTTTGTGCATGCATACGCACTCACAGGGTTGTTGTGAGGATAAAATGAAGGAGAAGAGAACAATGTAAACTGCTTTGGGTCCCCATTGGCGAGAAAAGGGGGGATATAAGTGGAAGTAGATATAATGTAGTAATGACATCTTCATTCTGTGATGGCGCACAAGTGTATGGCGCAGTTGTATATACGGAAAAGTACAGAACTTTGCACTCAATAGAATTCAGAATTAGGCATTGACAATTTCTAAGAATCTGCACGTTTGGGGGGGCTTGGCATGTGCTTTGCAACTTTGTGCTGTTTCCATGACAAACTGGTGCACAAAACTTCATATGGGTCACAGAACTTGGGTTTTTCTTTACCTAGATGCAAAACATTGAAAATGGATAGCCTTTGGTTAGTAATCCCTACTGGGACAACTTCTCTGATGGCTTCTGATTGTCACATTAGTTCTTACTGAGGCTTTAATTGACTTATGCTTAGGTTTTCATTTGGGGGGGGGTTATATAAACGTGTGCAAATATGGAACTATGGTTTACATTTGTGTGCTCTCAAAGAAAACCCTGCATGCTTTTTCTAAATAAAAAAATAAGACCTGCATTAAAGATCCCGGAATATGCCCTTCACGACCAAATAAAAATTTCAGTTGAGCTGCTATTCTACAGAGTTGGACCATTAATCCATCTAGCTCAATGTAGCCACTCAGCCTAGCAATGGCTCCCCAAGACCCAGAGGTCTTTCCCAGCACCTGCCGCCTGAAATGCTTTATGGGCATTGCTGGAGGCTGAACCTGGGATCTTTTGCATGCAGAGCAGAGCTCCTCCCCGAGATTCAGCTTCTATGTACCAATTCAGCCAAATTTCTCATCCGACAGGTTTGGGACAAGTGCAAAAGTGGTGCACTTCCTAGGAAGAATGAAGCCCTGGAACTACTCCTATGACTTCAAAGCAAAAACTGTAAAAGACGATGCTCATGATCCCACAATGGTTCATCCAGAGTTCCTCGACATGTGGTGGGATACCTTCATCACAAACATTTTGCCATTACTACAGCAGCATGGTGCCATTAAAGACACAGCCACTGGTGTAAAGGCGGTATGTCCTATCCTCTGCTTTGATCGGGATGTGGGGTGACGAAGGTTGTGTCTCTTGCTTGCTGACCAACTAGATGAGTTTCTTTACACCAAGCAGTCGAGCAATGGTGTTCTGCAGCTGGCATGCCTCCTTATTAAAAACAAACAAACAGCTTGTGAGCTGGCACTAGCAAGGCTACTGAATGAACTGACAACAGGTGACAATGACTGCAGCCCAAAGCAGGTTGATTTATGAGTGGCAGCCTGGCTAAGGTCTGCAACTGTATCAGTTGTGGTTCACAGCACTAGCTCCATCTCTGGACTGTGCTGACTGGAGATCAACGGCTGCAGAGTTTGACAGCTACTGCAAAATCGGGGGAATGGGTCAGCTAAAGTGCAGAATGCACAGGCCGGGGGGGGGATGCTGAAGCCCCTATTCTCTTTACCCCAGCTGTGTACCTCTCAATGTGGATTGCTTCTGCTCTGTTTTCCCAAAGGGGATAGAAATGCATGTTCCTCATTAAGGCACCAATGATGTTGGCAACACCTTCTGGGATTGTATTGATTGAGGGTGAAATGGTGGGGAAAGGAGTATTGCATGATCAACATCCAAGCAGTTGGAACATGAAGAAGCATTTGGTCATGCAACCCCACTCTTCAGTTGTGTTACAGTCCCAGGTGGACTATGACTAGGGATCAGGATGTGGCACTGGCAATAAGAGAACTTGCTCGATGGACTAGATCAAGTGGCACTTAAACCTTGAAAAGATCTGCTGCTAGCTTATAGGAATTCATGTTACGTACACATCTTAAGACTGCTCTGTTAACATTGGAGTCTGACAGCTGGCTGTGGTCAGTGGCCATTTGTGGTTTCTGTATACCGATTGACTTAATTCTTTCTAACTTCAGTGCTGCTAGTAGCTCTGAAATCAGAAATAGGCTTAAAAATGGCTGCCTTTAGTGGATCCCAGCATGATTGGGAACTAGAGAGGGAGGGACTTTATTTGTAGCTTTTCTCTAAAAGAGCCTGTGGGTGCATGTCCGAAAGTACCCGTCTCACAAAAAGATCTTCCTTGAGCTTTTGCACTGTAACACTTCTCCTATTACTGAACTGGAATTGCCGTGACTTCTGGTCCCTTCCCGTGTTAAGGCTAGCTAAAGGAACATGGCTGTAGTCTGATTCATTCACTCCAGTGATACTCATGGCATAGCTTGGGCATACAGGAAAATGAAGTTCTTAGACCTTTCTGAAACCAGAGGTACTGTTCTGTTCTTGAGCTATGCTTTCTCTTGTTCCTATTTCACCTTTCTAATGAACTATTTGCAGCTATCGGGCTTGGTCTATACACTGGCTTTCTCTTGTGGCTTCTGCAGAGAGGTATGAAGAACTTACACCTGTTGCTAACTACCTGTCTGCTGTTCTCCGTTGACTTGAATATGCTCTTGTTCTTTTTTTGGTTTTGTTTACAGCGGCTTCATTTTGCAAATGGTGCTTGCTGCTTTGCATGAGAGCATCTCATTGGCTTTCGTACCTCTTGGCCCTGCTTGATGCCTACTCCTCTGGACATAGACACAGCAGTCTTACTTGCTTGCACTCTCTTCTCTTTTTAGGAAGAGGTAACAGAGGCAGTGTCCCACCTGTCGCTTTCCTCTGCGCCACTGACATCTTTGCCACCATCACCACCGGCCATGTCTTCAGAAGAAAGAAAAGAGCGATGGGAGCAGGGCCAGGCTGACTACATGGGAGCAGACAGCTTTGATAACATCCAGAAGAAACTTGACAGCTACCTCCAGTAGAGAAGCACTTGTATCTGCTCTGCAGACATCAGCAATACAAGGACTTGTTCCAGAGCTGTAGCAACTAGGAAAACTCTGATGGAGGTGGGGGGGCGTCAGTTAAATTTGTTGGCAGCTCTGCCACTGCTCAGCTGAAGGCTGTTGCACTACCACATGTAAGAACTGAGCAAAAGCTTGTTTAAGTATCAGTCCTTGTGCCAATATGTGTGCCCAACAGCCATCTTTTCCTCTTGCACAAAACCTTATGCTGAACACGCTGTAAAGAACTCGTTGGGAACAAGGCACTTAACTGGCTTGAAACGTACTACTTAGACCTATAGGACTGTGCTTTACCTCTTTTCTCCCCTCCCCAGAAAACCACATATATATTTTTGCTTGCTATGTTTAAAAGAAATTGGCTAGAAGTTGAGGCAGCTACAGTGGGGAGGGGTTTACAGAATGGTCAAAATATGCAGCATCTTATAAAGACACTGCTGTTTGCTCTGCCAGTTCCAGCCATACTGAAGATTCAGACCAGATTTCTATGCACAGTTCCTACAGCATGGCAAAATGCTCTTGTTCAGTTCTGTGTACATCTTGGGACTAGTAATAAGTTGCTGAACTGTTACCTGTAACTACACTGAAAATGCGAAATAAAAAAAAAATCATGATAAACTTTGGTTCTCAAATTTGTCAAAGGGCAGTAAAAAGTAGTATTTATAGTCTTTGTCAAAATCTGCTTTCCACTAAACTTTGAATAGTTGGCTATTACATTTTCAAGTGTACTACCCATGGTATCACAGAGGAATGGAAGCAAGCATTTCAGCATTTCAAAGGTGGGTTTGAACTTCTAGCACTGCAGAGTCTGTATTTAGACATTTGCTTTTACTGAGATATAAAGCCAGAATGTGTCCCTGCTTCCTTTGTGGGGAAGATTCCAGCTGAAAAACTCCAGTAACCTATGCTGGACATGCACATGGTTTAACTGAAGTGAGTTGGTTAACCCACACCTCTACATTCTGGTGTCAGTTTCTGACTGGGGCAGAAGAGAGCCACAAACCTGTCTCAATAAGCCGTGTTCATGTATGTCTTGGCTTGATCAGTGCAGTCTGCATGACAAAGCGGCTTTGAAGGCATCCATTGCTGTGGCATCTCTAACTCACATTATGAGCTGTTAAGTGTGGGGGAAATCTAATGTGTGGGTTTAGCTCTTAAGCTTGTTAGGTCAGTATATTTAAATGAATGCCTTACTGGAACTGTGTGAGAAGTTTGTTCAATATGAGAATCAAACTGCTCTCAGACAATATTAAACTACTAGCTAAGCACGGAATTGGAGCATTTCCTATTCCTGGGGTCCTTGATTTTATCAAGTCTGTGGGCACTTCTAGAAACTTGTGGCCCTGTTCCTGTGGCAGCCTTTTTGTCAATTGTAGTGTTGGAAGGTTCCAGGCCAAGTATCCTCTAATAACGGCAGTAGGTGCTTTCAAGTAGGGCAGAAAACCAATGTCTCCTGTGCTCTTCTGAAGCACCTCCCCCACTGAGGAGGCAGAAGATGGCTGGGATTGACTCCTTTGAGATGTTGTTGTTGGGAGGGGGGCGTTTCTGGTTTTTGTAAGGAGTCCTTACATAGGCAGAAGTTGAGAGCCAGCGTGAGGTAGTGGTTAAGAGCAGCGGACTCTAATTTAGAGAACTGGGTTTGATTCCCCACTCCTCCTCCACATGAAGCCAACTGGGTGGCCTTAGGCCAGTCACAGTTCTCTCAGCCTCACCTACCTCACAAGGTGCCTGTTGGGGGGAGAGAAAGGGAAGGGGATTGTAAGCCACTTTGAGATGCCTTAAGGTAGAGAGAAGCAGGGTATAGAAGCAAACTCTTCTTGCTGTCCCAGAAACAGTTCATTTAAGGCCAGGTTGCTGTGCCCTGAAGTTTTTTTCCTGGTCTATTCAAGTCCCTTTGGATTTTACCTTGAGATACAAGTAGGAGACTGAAGAAGTGAGCAGTGACTCATGAAAGCTCCTACCCTGCCACATATTTTTAGTCTTTAAGGTGCTACTAGACCATTGCTCTTTTCTACAAGTAGCAGACCGAAGGAAATACATTTGGCACCATGATCTCCCAGCATCTTGTTATGTAGTATACTAAGTATTTATACCCAGCTGTTTCTTCCCAAATGGGGACCCAAAGCAGCTCACCTTTCCCCACCTCATTGACTTTAATTCTAATAACCCTTTGAGGATAGGGGCTCTGAACTTCATCTTGAAAAGCAGAACTAGCTAGTTTGATTTCTGGCTTCCAAACAGCAGGCCAGATTTGGGGATGCATACTAGTAGTTAAATAGGAATTAGAAATTTGTTCCTAACAGTAGCATATGAAAAATAATCCCCAACGTTGTCAGGGTCTGACAGATATGAGAGTCCAAGGCTATGAAGGGCTTTGTATACAACAGCCAGTACTATGAATTGAGTTCACTAATTGATAAGCAGCCAATGAAGTGAATGCAGAACTGGTGTAATAGGCATGTTCCACCTAGTTCTGATAAACAGCCAAGCTGCAGCATTCTGCACCAACTGAATCGGTTTTGAGGGGATACCTACATAGCATGTATTACAGTAGTCTACTCTGTGTTACCAATGGCACAGATTTCAGCTGAGTCACAGTGGGAGTCATCTTTCAGGCTAATACTAAGCTGGACATAAGTGTGTGGGGTTTTTTGGCAACTGCAGCAACTCACTTCTGCTGCTGTAAGGCTGGGTCTAGTCAGTAACAAACAGCAACACCCCAGCCAGCATTACTGTCTTCTTGTCAGTGTTTGATTTCTATTTGCTCCCATTTAGCTATTTCATAGAATCAGCTGGAAGGGACCTCCAGGGTCATCTAGTCCAACCCCCCTGCACAATGCAGGACATTCGCAAATACCCCCCATGATCCCCAGCCAAACTGGCAATCAGCATTTTCCTGGGTGTGTAACTACAGCAGTCAGGCAACAGGTCAAGCCCTTTACAACATCAACAGGGGGCTTGGATAGAGATAGAAGTTGGGTGTCATAAACATATTGAGAACATCAATCCTAAAACGATGAATTATTTTTTTCCTCAAGGTTTTATATAGAGGTTGAACAACATGGCAGTAAGATTGTACCATGTGAAACCCCACTCAGAAGATAACTGGTCTCCGACAACAACCCTTTGAGTCTAATCCATGAGGAACAATTTAAACCAGTCCAAGGCACATCTTCAAGAGGATGGCTTGTTCTATTGTACTCAAGGCTGCAAATAGATCCAGTAGGAGCAACAAAAAAGTATGGCTGCTGCATTAAAATGGAGGTCATAAACTAAAGGTGCCAGGGCCATCTTGGAGGTCTTACCATTCTGAGCAATGCTACTTGTCGAAAGATTGTTTTGACATGAGAACAGAGGCAGAGTCAAGACAAAGGTTTACTTCCAAGTCTGATACAAATCAAGGTTCTAGTTATGCCATATAGCAAAAGGTACACAGTAGTATACATTAAATTCCAGTATACAGACTGTTCACATCCTGACTTCTCAACCAAAAATACTGTTGCAAATAAAACAAAAATAAACTACTGTACTTTTAAAATTGTCTGGATAAAGTCTAACCTAAAAATTCAAGAATTTTTGCTCCCATTCTCTACACGCTTCATTTCTCCTGACATAGTTTAGCTAACAAAAAAAACCTGAGGTTGTTTAAATGTTACTTGACAAGTATTTTTGCATTTGCCACTGCTGTTGAACATCTGCCTAAAACACAAATAAAACTGGATGCTGTTATAAAATTATAAAGCATTTAAAGAATAAATCTCTTTAGTCATGCTGTTTTTAAGTCCCTGATAGTCACTCTCCCAAAACCTCAATGTCTACTTTTAAGAAGCCTAATGAAATGTAACCCATTACCCCTAACTTTCTTGTGCAATACAGCTACTGCCCAAAGATGACAGAGCAATTCGAAATGCTTGTGCGTGTGCTGATTTAACAATTAGCATCATGTCAGCCTCAACCCCGGCCCCAACATAACAAAATTATAAATCCATCAAAGTTTTAATTTCATTAATTTTGGTTTCACTAGAGGAAGGCTTTTTGGCTCCAAAGGCTCCGGCTGCAAGCTCTCTCTTCTTGTTCTGAATTTTCAGCATGTTTTCTTCCACTGAGTGCTTCACAATGAACTAAAATGAAAATTTAAAAATACGGTCAAGCAGAAAGGAAACAAACAAGCCACAATATTTTTTTAAAAAAATAAATGCAACTGAAAATTCACTGGTTTGACTCCTATGCCTCCCTTCCTCTCAGTGAGGAGTCTTGCTCTGACAGAAAAAGCTTCTTCCATTACAGAAGGAACTTAGCAGAAGGGAATGCCAGGATTCAACCCTTTATCTTGAAGCATGAACTTACTCAAGGTAAAACAAAGCTTGGAAGTCACAGCGGGGAAAAACAATTGTTCACACACTCTTTTCCCTTCCATTGAACCAAGCAGAGCCAATGGAGGATTATTTCCCTTAATTTAGTAGCACCCCAGTACAGCAACAGGTTTCCATATCTGTATTCCTGGCTGGATGGGGAACCACACCCACACTTCCCCTTCCCAATCATTCAGTGCCTGCACAAAGCTTTTAAAAAAAACTTGAGACCTTCCCGTCCTGACCTGGATAGCCCAGGCAAGCCCGATCTCATCAGACCTCAAGCTAAGCAGGGCCGACCCTGGCAAGTACTTGGATGGGAGACCTCCTTGGAATACCAGAGGTGGGGGCAAGCTTTATTCAGCCACCTAACTGAATATCTTCCAGGCCGCCAGTGGGGTCAGTCACCAGAGTTTGCCATAACTTCCAGGTGCCCACATACACAATACCAAAAAAGCCCCACCTTGAGATCTTCCCCATCTGTTTGAAAGGGGGAGAGTGGAGCTGGAGACCACCCCACCCCATCTGCCTTTTACCTCCCAAAAGCTCATAGGCGAGGTATCATCTTTTTAAAAAGGGACTGGAACATACAGCCCAGGGCTGCTCCATGCGCACACTGTCTACTGCATTGGAGTCAGGCACCAGCTTACCTTTGTGATGATAACTTCCTTCTTCTGCCCAAGTCTATGACATCTGTCAAAACACTGGTCCTCTGCAGCAGGGTTCCAAGCCTATCAGAGATATTAAGTATTCAGACTGAGCTTTGCTGTAAGTAATGTGTTTTCAGACACAGAGATTTCTTAAAATCATATGGCAGAGTCCTTTTCCATAGTGCTTTGTTGGTTATTTTTTTAATCTAAAGATTCAGAGTTTTCTACCAGTGTAATCTTTAGCTTTAGAGTTCATTTATTTAAATATTTTTACCCCACCTTTCAGGCTGCAGACATAAGACAGGCGTGCAAAGTCAGTCACAGATTGCTCAGTTCTGTATTTTCTTATTATGATAGTCTCACGGGGAGGAATTGCACTGGTAAACAATTCTGGGCATCCGTCTTTTCTGCCATCAAACTTAGGAGCTGCCAGGAGCCCAACAGCTGGTGACAGAAGCCCCCGATCAAAGTGTCAAAGGTATAATGATTTCCCACCACCCCAACTCATGGTATATGTCACCAATCATTGACACTGTCACCTGCCCCAGCAACCAAACTGGGCTGAGATTTTACAGATCAGAAAGTGTCTAAAGTTAAAAAGTAGTAATAAGTAGACAATACTTACTGGATCCATTAAAAAGACTCGTGAAGCTGCTGTGAGATTCAAGCCAACACCACCCGCTTTTAGAGATAACAGCATTATAGTTGGGGATCCAGCTTCAGTGCTCTGGAACTGCTGAATTGCCTCTACTCTTTTCTTCTGTCTCAGTGCCCCATCCAAACGAGTGAAGACAAACCCAGATTTTCTGTAGCAGAAAAAAAGTGATATGCTCTCACCCAGAGAATTAAGGTCTGATTTTGGAGGTGGTTTCCTGGAAGCATGAACAGCTATTACACAAGCGGAACAAAACAGAGAGCAATGGAATGGCATCTGTTATCTTTTAGTGATTTAAGCAGTATTTCAAACAAGCATAATTTACTCAAGCACGTATTCCTGCTTACCTCAGTGGAACCTCTATTAGAGAGAGGAATTTCGTGAACTGAGAAACAATTATACTCTTAATAGCTGGATTTTGCTTTCTTTGAGCTAGCAAAGCATGCATTAGGGCATTGACCTGAAACACAGAAGACAATTTATTTTCAGTTTACAAACAAGAAACTATTTGGCTTTTCTTGTGCTTAAAGGAAGAAAAAAACCTACACATTTCCAGAATGGTGTGTGCCAAAGTGACCAGTTTTTTCTCCCCATCTTCTGTTGCCACATACCGAAAATTCTTGTCCTCAGGCAGATGAAAGTAAGCTCAATACACGAAGAATGAGGAAGAAATAAAACTGGTTTCTTATGTAACAAAGATTCTTGCGACACCTTAAACGTGCTCTGGCATAAAGCAATCTGAACCAGAGACCACTCCATCCGATGCTTAATCACAAAAGACTGCAGCAGCCAGCCCCCACGCTTTTACACCCCCCCCCCCAGTCTGGAAGATATTCCTTTGGAGACTGGGAGCCTCAACTATAAAGTTAGCTCAGCTTACCAGTGTTAACATATACTAGTTTTTAGAAAGGAGTAAAGCAGTTACATTAATAAAGGAAATAAAATTCAAGCAAAGCACAGGAAGATTTCAAGCATTCACATAAGAACATAAGAGATGCCAATGTTGGATCAGGCCAAAGGCCCATCCAGTCCAACACTCTGTATCCCACAGGGGCCAGAAATACCAGTGCCATCAGGAGGTCCACCAGTGGGGCCAGGACATTAGAAGCCCTCCCACTGTTGACCCCCCCCAAGCACCAAGATGACAGAGCATCACTTGCCCCAGAGTCCCTATCTATACCTTGTGGCTAATAGCCACTGATGGACCTCTGCTCCATATGCTTATCTAATTCCCTCTTGAAGCTTTCTCTACCTGCTCTTTCCCATGCATAATCTTATAAACCTCGATCATGTCACCCCTCAGTCGTCTTTTCTCCAAGCTAAAGAGCCCTAAGCGCTTTAACCTTTCCTCATAGGGAAAGTGTTCCAACCCTTTTATCATTCGAGTTGCTCTTTTCTGCACTTTTTCCAAAGCTATAATATCCTTTTTAAGGTGTGGTGACCAGAATTGCACACAGTATTCCAGATGAGGTCGCACCATTGATTTATATAGCGGCATTATGATATTGGCTGATCTGTTTACAATACCCTTCCTAATAATCCCCAGCATAGCATTGGCCTTCTTTATTGCAGTCACACACTGTCTCGACATTTTCAGTGAGTTATCTACTACAACTCCAAGATCTCTCTCTTGATCTGTCTCTGCCAGTTCAGACCCCATCAATGTGTATTTATATTTAGGATTTTTGGCTCCAATGTGCATCACCTTGCACTTGGCCACATTGAACCCCATTTGCCATGTTGACGCCCACTTGCCCATCTTTGACAGATCCCTTTGGAGTGCCTCACAATCCTCACTGGTTTTCACCACCCTGAACAACTTCGTATCATCCGCAAATTTAGCCACTTCACTGCTTACTCCCAACTCCAAATCATTAATGAACAAGTTAAAAAGCAGTGGACCAAGTACTGATCCCTGTGGTACCCCACTGCTTACACCCCTCCACTGGGAGAACTGCCCATTTATACTCACTCTCTGTTTCCTGAGAAATAGAGTTCATTCATATGCTAAAATTCTTGCCTCCTGCGTACTTTCAGAGGCCATTGCACTAACCACTCCTTTTTCTTTCTAGAATTCTCCCCACCCTGCCTCCAAACATCACTGTGACAAGTCAGGGCACATGAGAGAAGAAGAATGAACTTTGTATAAATGCAGATGAAGAAGAAGAGATTGGATTTATACCCCCCGCCCTTCACTACCCAAGGGAGTCTCAGAGTGGCTTAGCAACTCATTTCCCTTCCCCTCCCCACAACAGAAACCCTGTGAGGTAGGTGGGGCTGAGAGAGCTCTGACAGGAACTGCTCTTTTTCAAAAAAAACTGTGCCAGAACTATGGCTTGCCCAAGGCCATCCAGCAGGTGCAAGTGGAGGAGTGGGGAATCAAACCCGGTTCTCCCAGATTAGAGTCCACACACTTAACCACGGCACCAAACTGGCTCTCTTCCACTGCTCCAGCAAGATGGCCCTTCCAGGTTATCACCATCAAAATAAGCACAAGGGAAATACACTAACTCGAGACTTAAGTACTGCATGAAACAAAAGAACCTATAGGGAGCAATGTGAATTGTTAAAGGTCCAGTGAGGGAACAGAAGGGGAAAGGTGTGCAAAGCATCAAAATGAGAAAGAAGGAAAATAGGTCCAGGATGGGAGAAATTAGCAACACACAAAAAGTCTGAGAAGTCGAACAGCCCTCTTTTGTTACGTTCTTTTTATTAAGCCGAATCCATGTACCAACATTAGAGGTTCAGACTGGCTGCAGCGGCACAAACTAGTCAAGGCAACGCAGAGCACGGATGAATGCCTAACCTACTGAAGCCAGAAGACAGAGTGTTGGCAAGACAGGCTGAATGGCTGCCAAGCAGTCAGCAGCCTTTGTGCCACCCTGAAGAGCAGCCTGCTTATGCAGCAGAGTTCCACTACATACGTTTGGGAAGTGACTATTAATGTTTTAAGAGTGTTCGCTTAGAAGTTTACCCGTGAAGTATTTTTTTTAACAAGACCAATATATAGAATTTGTTCCGATGGCGAAACGTTTGGCTGGAATCAAACAGACCACCAAGAGAAGGGCTTACCCGAACCCACTTCCTGCTACAGTACCTTGCCCCCCCCCCCAAAGCTGCTCCAACAGTGAGACAAGCTTCAGGAATGGTGTGGGATGTGAGCACAGAACACTGCAACAGGAATGGGGTGTGTGTGTTTCAGTATGCTTCTACTATCACAAAGGCAGGTTTGAACCCAAGCCAGTTATCACCCCTCCTACATTCCCATACTTTGAGGCCTGGATTCAGAGTCTGAACAGTTTCTCATTTTGAAGCTATAATCTAGCCTATAGGTATATTTTGTTTGCAATGAACTAAATACTGATTAAAAAAAAAAGATCGCTCATTAAGAGTATCATTTCCCATCTCAAATTTACAACAATGAAAATTCTAATGCAACATTTACCTTTGAACTTGATACCCATTCTTGATCAGACTTCTCTGTATCATCAGAATCTTCCAAAGGACATTCTACAAGTTGCTCTAATCGAACCTCTTTTCTGCAAAGAGGGCATTTAGCATTTGGCTGTAAAACATAACAGTGTTCATTGGTAGTGCCTTCTGAGCATACATACATATTGTCCCTTTCATGCCAACTTTAAAAGCCAGTTTCATGTTACGTATCAATTAATAGTTCTGTATCTTCAATTTATAACTGAAAGCACCCCCACAAAATTGGAGGGGTTGATAATGAACTACAAAGGACTGTAACGTTAACACTACAGAGAAATATCATGTTTCTTTGGGGGTTATATTTCTGCTACACATGCTAACATGAACAAGCCTTACCATTATTGCCAGGCAACATCTCCCTTATATATAAAAGCCGAATGGTGGTGGCACTTCTCTAGAACATTCCACACGCTCCGGAATTGGTTGGCGCCCTGGTGTGTCACTCAGAATCTGTCCCTATCCACTGGCGGCATTGTTTGAGTCTCGCCTCCAACATTCTAAACAGTTTGCTGTTCCTCTCCCCCCCATAGCCAGTCAGAACATAGAGGTTATTTGCATATGCAGCCTCATTGGCCTTTGCCTCAGAACACAGAGGTCGTCTGCATATGCGACTTGATTGGCTTTTGCCTCTAACATTCTAAACAATTTGCTGGGGTAAAATGTGTCCAATCTCCAGGTGAGGGCTGGAGATCACTCAGAATTACAACTGCTTTCCAGATGGCAGAGATCAGTTCCCCTGGAGAAAATGGTGGGCTCTGTATCTTTTTATGCTGCTGAGGTGGCCCCCGTATGACAGCCAATGTTGACGTGGCAGTCAGGGCTTCAGAGCACCGGAGAGGCTACAGGTGTGTGGGGGGTGGAAAGCTGAAGAGTGAGGGGGAAATAAAGGTAGGTTGATGATTGGCTGGGAAGGAGAAAGGGTTGCCAACTCCAGGTGGGAAGTTCCTGGAGATGTGAGGGATGGAGCCTGGAGAGGGTGAGGTTTCAGGAGGCGTGGGACCTCGGACAGGTACAAAGCCATAGACTCCAGCCTCCAAACCAACCATTCCCTTCTGGGATTGTTGCCAATCTCCAGGTGAGGGCTGGAGATAACTCAAAATTACAACTGCTCTTTAGATAGCAGAGATCAGTTCCTCTGGAGAAAATGGTGGACTCAGTGTCACTATATCCTGCTGAGGTCGCCACAGCAAATAGACACTGAGTGTCCAAAGCCGGGGCACTCACCCAGAGCCTCTTTCTAGAGGTGGTTGTATTTATTTCCACAACGGGCCTTTTTCCTAGTTCTACAATAAACCAAGGTAACATTTTACTACAAATGAATCCACATAACATTACTTCCACAAAAACAGCCCCCAAGAACCAATATACATGTACTTTCTTCTCTAGAAACTCTGCATAACATGGCTTCAGCTCTTTTTTCTGTTAGGCATAGCAGTTCTCCAATGAACTGTCATTTGCTACTTAGTCTGTCATTTGCTTTGCCCTGTCAAGTCACAGAATTCTTATGGTGACGCTCTGGGGTTTTCAAGGCAAGAGACATTCAGAGGTGGCTTGCCATTGCCTGCTTCCACATCACGACCCTGGTATTCCTTGGAGGTCTCCCATCCAAATACTAGCAAGGGCCGACCCTGCTTAGCTTCCGAGATCTGATGAGATAACACTAGCCTGGGCTATCCAGGTCACGGCTAGTTTGAATAACACTTTAATAATCCTTTCAAATGGCTCAAGAGTCTCAAAACACCTCAAGTCTCATTGAGAACGGTAGACTACAAGGAACATAAAGAAACACTGAGTTTTGACCCCGTTTAAGGTTTCACTGATTGCTTCAAGACAGGGGGAGCAGCTTTTGACTGCCTCTATTTTGCTTCCAGTTCTACTTCTTTGCTACACTGCTACTCTCAAATCTGTAATTAAGCAGATAAATAAGCAACCCCACTTCATTAAAAGGTGGATGAACAAAGAGTTTAACCAGACAACATTTCAAACCTCATGAACTCTGATTCCAGGCCTAACAGACTGTCTACTGCGGTCCCTTAACTCTTGATCTATGCATCAATGGTTATTTATTAAAAACATTTCTATACTGCCTATCCAGGAATCCCTTTCCTCCAACGTTGCAGGAACAGCCGAAAAGCTTTATAATATCATGTAGCAGAACCTTTTAGGAGATTATCCTCAGGTGTCCACATAAAGTCTAAAGGCACTATAACCACCAAAGCAACACCAATTATTGTTTTAGAATAATGTTGCGCCTCAGTGTGAGCTCATTATGTTGTAGCTCTGCCCCACAGAGAACAAAAGTTCCCATGCATCTTTTCTGCTCTTGCAAATTTTCTTTTAGAAAAACCTTTGAGGCAAAAGCAGGAGGGACAATTCTGTCCACTTCCCGCTCGCTCTCCACAGCTGCCCATGTTCTGGGTTCCCCCAACTCTGGAATTGCCTTTTCAGCTCCCACAAGTAGCTCCCAGGGAAAGGAGGGGGAAGATGGGCCTCCACCAGTGGCTTCCCCTGGCACTGAAAAGGATCCAGTCCGTTATATTTTAAGTCATATTTCTCACACTAAAATGCAAGCTTTAGAGTCAGGCACAATCCACCTACCCACATAAGATTCTGCTACTGCCTTCTACAGTCTCAACTCTTCTATTCCACCCAGGAACAAAAAAATTCAGCTAACAATTTTAACACGAGAAAAGATAGTAGTTATAATTGATCTAGCTGCACACCTTTTACACACATGTACAACCTGAACAGGTTACTGGAAATTTTGTACTATGAACACTGGCCATATTGAGGTTCATTTTTTTCTAGAGGTGTTTTGGTCAGTGCCAACATTTTAATTCTACTGCTCTGTACTGGATTAATGTGAAGATGCACTAATTGCTCCACTTGTAAATTCTTTTCTCCAGCTCAGCTGATGAGCTCTATATAAAAATTCTGGTTACATAACAGCAGAATAGAGGTGCTTTGTTTTTACTGAAGAACTCTCACTCAGCTATATAAACACAGGATCAACTATTACTCATTCTTTGTACAACACACAAACACACCCAGAGACAATTTATACTAACATGACAAGTGGGTAACAAATAAAAACAAACACCACTTTAGTTTTCGTGTACACGCTGATGTGCTGCTGGAGATTTAATCTCAGCATGACCCAAATCATGAGCCTGAGTGTATCAGAAATGCTCTGAATCCAACCTCAGTTTCCAACATTTGAGTGGGCAGAAGTCTTCTAATTTGATGATTATGCTAGAGACTCAGTGCCTGCCTTAATGTCCCAGGGGGCAGAAGGGTGGCACCAACAATGGAAGAGAACTCCACAACAGTATGGGAGTGAAAAGGATGCTGGGAACATCCTGATACGCATTTCTGTGCTATGCTGGGGCCATGGCTGGGTGGCTATGACAGAGTCCGCTGAAGCAAAATCCTACGAAGACGGAAGTGCTGTACCTGAGCCGGGGTGGAGTGGATTCGGGAATTAGGCTCTCTACCCTGGATGGAGCACCGTTGGTGCCAGCCCAGAAGGGGAGGAGGCTTGGGGTGACCTTGGATGCCTCACGTTCTGTGGAGGCCCAGGTCGCCACGGGCACCAGGTCTGCCTTTGATAATCTTCGGCAGATCAGGCAGCTGGCTCCCTACCTCTCCCCCCGGGACTTGGCTACAGTAACCCATGCAACGGTCACTTCCAGGCTTGATTACTGTAACTTGCACCAGGTCTGCCTTTGATAATCTTCGGCAGATCAGGCAGCTGGCTCCCTACCTCTCCCCCCTGGGACTTGGCTACAGTAACCCATGCAACGGTCACTTCCAGGCTTGATTACTGTAATTTGCTCTACACGGGCTTAACCTTGAGGCTGAGCCAAAAACTCCAGCCGGTACAAAATGCAGCAGTGCGCCTGCTGACTGAGACGACTGTGCGGACGCACATTAAGCTGGTGCTCCACCAACTGCACTGGCTACCAATCGAGTACCAGATCCATTTCAAGGTGCTGGTGCTGACCTTTAAAGCCTTATGGGGCCTGGGACCAAAATATCTACAGGACTGCCTCTCCCCATCTGTGCCCCAAAGAGCCTTGCGCTCTGCAGATAGTCATCTGCTGGTTGTCCCCAGCCCAAAAGATGCCTGCCTAGCCTCAACCAGGGCCAGAGCAGAGACGAATCAGGCAAGATCGATCAGTGAGGAGGAAGGATCAGATCATCTCTCTGTCTGTAACACAACTGCTGATTCTGGAAAACCATGTAGCTGTACCTCCTTCCCACCACCACGATACATGTCCTGTTACCACAGCTACCCTGTCAGTCCTAAAGAGAAAAACAAAGGCAACTCCTCTAGACATAAGAAATTGGATGTGAGGATCTATTTGCTATGCAAGTGAGAATTTTAATTACCTATCTTCCTGAAACATAGGAAGCATGATTCCTTCATTGAAAGGTACAATAATGAAAGTATGTCATTGGGGGCAGCAAGGTGTGTGGGGGGGGGGAATACCAAGAAACATGTTTCCAACTGAAACAACTACCAGATTGATCTCCAAGTACATCTGGCTTTACTTAAGATATTAAAGAAAACAACTCAAGTTTTTAAAACACTATCCATCCCAAATAAACTATTTTTTAGAATACCCATAACCATGCAACAGCAGATCAATACCAAAAGGACAGCATGCAAATTTGATGCACAAACAGAATCAGCAGATGAGACATCCTGAATTCACAGCCGCTGCAAATTCAAAGAGGTTATAAAGTAATTCAATCTGTTTACCAGCACAACACAATTATCTTTCAGTTACCCAACACTAATGCACATCACTTTAGAATAGTTCATTACTGGACTGAGGGCAGAAACTAACCTTCTCCCTTTGGATGACTTCACAAATGCATGGCTTACAGTACACATGAGCACAGTGGGTTATCACAGGAATACTGACAGAGTCTAAGCAAACAGCACATTCTTCATCAGAGCCAGAGCTTAGAATTAGCTTCATCTTCTCTATTAATTTTGCACGCAGCTCTTCAGGAGTACCATTACCTGCCCACAGAAATAAACACTAGATTAAAGAAAAAACATGACTGAATACGTTATTACCTGGGTTTTACAGTTCTCGGCCTGACACGGATAGCCCAGGCTAGCCTGATCTTGTCAGTTCTTGGAAACTAATCAAGGTTGGCCCTGGCCAGTATTTGGATGGGAGACCTCTATGGAATACCAGGGCCATGATGCAGTGAAAAGCAATGGCAAACCACCTCTTGCCTTGAAAAGCATATGGGGTCGCCATAAGTCAAATGTGATTTGATGGCAGTTTCTGCCACATTACAGTTCTCAAGCAGCATGTAATAGAAACACATTTGGGTTTGTTAAAACAAAACAGATTGTATCTAATTAGCAGTTGATGAAACAGCCAAATATACTCATCTATTGGTCTTAAATACTTACCAGGCACTCTTTTAAGGTAAACAGACTGAAAGTGCAGTTGAACTGACATGTTAGAAACCAAATTATTTTTTCCTGGTTTTCTGGAACCAGCACGATAGTGATTAATAATTTCTTAAGATTTCTTCCACACAAACTGAAGTTGTCTCACTTGCTGAGAACCATTAACTTTTAACACAAGTACTGAACACATACTCCTCGGACTCAGGAGAGTACAGGATTACTTTGTAAATCAGAAGAAAAAAGAAGCCAAAATGGAAAGACTGAGGGCTGATTCAGGCCCTCCATGTGCCAAGTGGCTGCCAAGTTGAAGGGGAACAAGTGACATCCGATGTCCCTCCCCCTACACTGTGGTGGCATCTTTCTCCTCCATGTGTTAAAGCAGGGGTGTCAAACATGCGGCCCAGGGGCCACATCAGGACCTCGGAGGGCTTCTAACAGCCCCGCAGTGGAACTGGCTGTCTTCTGCTTCTTCTTCCAGTTCTGCTGCTGCAGCATTATCGCAGGTTTGCAGCTTACAGATACACACCTGAACAGCATACTCAAGATTGCAACAGCACAGACATTTTGATGCAATAATTCAGAGCAAGAGGTGCAAGTTATTAGACACTGTTAAATAAACAAAATACTGCAAGAATGCTAATATTTAAAGCATGTTTTTATTTTAAGTAAAAAAAAACCTTTGTGTCCTTTATAAAGTTTATATCTCTGCTACCTGGCATTACATTTTACGACACACATGGCTCGGCCCAAGAAGTTCTCATTTATGTCAGATCCAGCCCTCATAACAAATGAGCTCGACACCCCTGTGTTAAAGAGTCCTTTGCAGGTGGTAAAGTGGGATCAGATGACATCTTTTCCCTAGTTAACTATACCAAAAGAGGTCTAAAAGGGTCAGAGACTCTAAAGGATTAAAAGGTGGGGAGAAAAAAGGAGCTGCTGTTCTCCAACTCATCAAATGTTTTACCCTCTAAGCATACTTGACTGCCAAGGATGTAACCACACAGATCTGAGTTCTAACAAATTGTCACAAGCAAGATGATAAATGTATGTATAACAAAATTAAGTATTTCATCTATTTTTCTCAGCAAGTGTGATAAAAGCATTGTTACATTTTAATAGTGAATGAAGATACTGACCTTCTTCAAAGGTGGAGGAAGGCGCACTTGCACAGAGATGTGGATGACAACACAACTGTCTCAATCTAAGCAGTGCACCCAGAACATCTGCATAGTGGGTCAAAACAGTTCCCTCATTAAAATACCTGAAAAATAGAGCAAAATGTGGCTTGCAGCTTCAGTATCCACTCAAACTGTGATTCATAAATCCTCCAAGTCTGCAATATAAACTGTGCATATGAGCCATTTATTTTGCCTACTGTGTCACTCTCACACACCCGGCTGCAAACTGCAATCTCCAGTTGCATTTCACCCAAAAAGTGCCAAATAATTTGGATTTAGTTTACAATACAAATAATTTTCACATGTGACTGTAGTCAGGGCTGCCGACAGAGGAGGACTGGGCGGACAAAATTCAGGGGACCCAAGTCAGCTGGAGGCCCCCAGAAGCCATCATCGTGCTGCATCCAGCAGAACTGTCTTTCAGTTTATTTTTAAATGCAGTTCTGGCTGCAGCCACTAGGGAGGCAGGGAAGTCTGAATACAGTAAAAGTCACTCTACTATCAGCAAGACTTCCCTTTCTCCAAGACTGAAGCAAACTGGCCTATGCCCGTCAACCAAGCCAGCATGCTGATGGCTGCTAGAGTAAGTGCCAGCCTGCAGGTCATTCCCTCTCTTAATTTCAGTCCCTCTTTTCCACGGTTTTCTCATTCATTTCTATCTCCCTCCCTCTGGTTGTTCTGTGTCTCCCCCCTCCCATTTATTTTCACTTTTTGGTCTCAAGACCTTCTCAACCCTATCCTGCTTGGCAACATAATGTACTTTAAGAGTAGTGTAGGAGCAAACCTTTATTAATATTATGAACGTGTGTGTGTGTGTGTTAATATTTTCCCATCATGTAACAAATAAGTAAAAGGATATCCCCCCCCCCCCGCCTTTACATGTACAGTAACTGAACATGAATTTGTTTTAGTGGTAATAAAGTGGCTGCAGCTGGTGCAAAACGCTGCGGCCAGGTTGCTGATGGGAATCCCGATTCGAGAGCACATCCAACCTGTGCTGAAGACGTTGCACTGGCTGCCTATAGCATACCGGGTCCGCTTCAAGGTGCTCTTTTTGACCTTTAAAGCCCTTTATGGCCAGTGTCCTGCATACCTAAGGGACTGCCTATCCCCATGTGTACCCCAAAGGACACTGCGATCAGGGACCCAGAACCGGCTGGATCCCCCAAGCTTCAAGGAGGCCAGACTGGTGGCAACCAGGGCCAGGGCTTTCTCAGTGGCTGCTCCACTCTGGTGGAATGAGCTCCCGGAAGAGACTAGGGCCCTGAGGGACCTTTCACAGTTCTGCAGGGCCTGTAAAACGGAGCTCTTCCACCAGGCCTTCGGAGCTGCCACACTAACACCTCCACTGCCAACAGTTAATATCTACTTTGGCGGAGCCCTGGCCCATAGGTCCCTCAAACACAGCCCATGTCAATGACCTGAGATAGCTGCAGAAGGCCGAAGAGTCAATTGGAATATGAGGAATGTTGCTAGCACTTTATCTTGTTTGAATTTTAATGCTGTATTTATTAATGTATGTGATTTTATTATGATTGTGTTATGGGGATTTTATCTGTTTGTAAGCCGCCCTGAGCCAGCCTTCGCTGGGAGGGCAGGATAAAAATTTAATAAATAAATAAATTATATACGGAGAACATATGTTACAACTCCCAGTTCAGGCACTGGGTTGTTAATCCTTATTCTGCTGGTGGAAGATCTGAAAGAACTCAAATGTGAACTTCTGGATATCCTTACAAAAACATGTAATCTTTCCTTAAAATCTGCCTCCATTCCTGAGGACTGGAAGGTAGCTAATGTCACTCCCATCTTTAAAAAGGGTTCCAGAGGAGATCCAGGAAATTACAGGCCAGTCAGTCTGACGTTGATACTGGGTAAATTGGTGGAAACCATTATTAAGGAAAGAATTTGTAGGCACATAGATGAACAAAACCTATTGAGGCAGACTCAGCATGGGCTCTGTAAGGGAAGATCTTGTCTCACTAACCTGTTAGTGTTCTTTGAGGGGGTGAACAAACATGTGGACAAGGGGGGATCCAATAGATATTGTTTACCTTGACTTCCAGAAAGCTTTTGATAAAGTTCCTCATCAAAGGCTCCTAAGTAAGCTCAAAAATCATGGGATAGAAGGACAAGTCCTTTTATGGATCAAAAACTGGCTAATTAATAGAAAACAGAGAGTGAGTATAAATGGGAAATTTTCTCCATGGAGGGACGTAAGCAGTGGGGTACCGCAGGGATCAGTACTTGGTCCACTGCTTTTTAACTTGTTCATTAATGATTTGGAGTTGGGAGTAAGCAGTGAAGTGGCTAAATTTGCGGATGATACGAAGTTGTTCAGGGTGGTGAAAACCAGTGAAGATTGTGAGGCACTCCAAAGGGATCTGTCAAGGATGGGCGAGTGGGCGTCAACATGGCAAATGGGGTTCAATGTGGCCAAGTGCAAGGTGATGCACATTGGAGCCAAAAATCCTAAATATAAATACACATTGAT